ATAATGTGTGTGTGTATATATTCATATAATTCAAATAGACTTCATGTTCTTAAAACTCTAGACACAAAACATTAAAAATATGAGGAGCAGCCTCGGGTAAGCAGTGGTGAAACATACATTTGATAAGACTAATTCACTTGGTTTGACTGCAATCTCGGCACTGTAGATTGAGTTCCTTTGGAAAACCTGAACACTGGGCAGATCATTCATGAAAAATTATGATTTGCACTACAATACCTAGGCAGAATTATAACAAACAATGCAAGGACTGAAATTACTCTAAGTTCACAATACATGTTGATGCATTCGTTTCTGAATAAATTACATTTGACTATTATGGGAACATCTGGACAAATTTCTGCAAAGCTAAAATGGTGATGATGCTGCACAAGCAGCTGATTCTGCTGCTAATAATTATGATGACGTTATTGGATGATGCTATATGCTACAGTTTCTGATGGTCGGGGTGGTGATGATCCTAATTAAATTAACAAAATAACCAAGTGCTTTTTTATTATCTGTTCTGTATTACTGCACTGTCCTTTGAGCCGATTCATTTTGTGCATTGGGGGCCGGATTGGGGTCATACATGTTGTTAGCGTCAACAACGATAGTTGACGCTTGTTGACGCTACCAAGTGTGCCCCACTGATCCAATTTCCAATGCGACGCATAAACAAAACGATGGCGGTGTACGAAGTTTTCGCTCACCCTATTCAACAGAGATACAAAGCCTCCTTTTGCACTAAAGCGACAGTATTTATCGTTGTTATATTTTTATTAACTTTGATTCCACCATTTCTTATTGCTTATTCAAGTCGAGGTAAGTTCATGCCTGTTTGTTTAATAATTCTAATCATCTAGGCTTAGGTCTAGACTATTAGGGCCTACTAGCTAGGCCTTAGGCTTAGGGAGGTTCGAGTTTAGTTGGGTGGACAGTAGGAAAGGCCGTGTCGGCTAGCCTTGCTAGTGTAGGCCTGGGGGAGACCTACGGTAGACCTAATCAGTTCGAATCGTCTCTCCAAAGACTAGGCCTAGGTAAAGTTAGTCATAGTATTTTTATTTTATATATTTTCGATTCATGGAACAAAATCTTGATCTTCATCTTGATAGTGTAATTGATAGACTCCGGCTGGAGTATCACTCAATGTTTGAATAGTGGCGACAGAGGAGGGACTACTCATAGTTAACAATTTGCTTGCAAAAGGCTACAGAATTATTAATTGAAGTAGAAGAGTAAGGGAGGGCGTTCCAGTCTTTAGCTGTGTTGGGGAAAAAGGAGTAAAGGAAGCGATTTGTCTTGGCCTTTGGTATCTTTAATGAAAGGGGGTTATGGTTTCTAGTGCGCCTAGCAGCAGTCGCTCGTCTGTTGAATTCCAGGTGGTTATCAAACTTTAGCTTTTTGGATGTTGCTCTTGGTATGCAGATCCCATACAGAGGAGGTTAACTTTTTTCTGAGTGAAACGCTCATGATATAGGTCTAGGTACGCTAGTCAAGTACTGTAGTAGTAAATAGGCCTAGGCCTACAAAATCCAGTATATTTTGATGTTTTTTATTTTCACACGTTTAATCTTTCTAATATTGTTCCAAATATTTTATGCCAATCTGGGATTGTAATTGGCGGACCTGCCTTAACGTTAAACTTCAGTCTCGCTAATGCGCAATGGCATGTCTGAAGAATAACCATTTTATGTTCAGCAGGTCCATTCAGTCTTGCAGTTCGGTGGGAGGGGGGAGGAAATGGTTTCGATGACATCCTGTGCCCCTTAATATAATAAGTCAAAGGTCTGAGCTTGATAGTTTGCTTTCTTTTAAGAAAAATCTTAAAACCTATTTATTACAGGAATGTTAACTTGCCTTATTTTCTCACTTAGTGCCTCTGATAAATTTTGAATTGGTACTATTTAATATTTACTATTATTATTGTTATATTATTATTATATTATTATTAATATTATTATTATTATTAATATTATTATATTAAAATTTATAGTTTTTTAAACAATTAATACTTGTTGAGGTAAAATATTCAATGAGAATGAGTGATTGAATCTGTTAGTTTGGCAAGCTAATTTTTTTTTCATACTTTTTAGGATTCTGGATAAAAGAGGCCATCTACAGAGAGCAGCCAGAAGTTCATTTCAAGCATGAGTTACTTCTAATTTTAGAAACTTCAACATCATATGTTGCATGGAGCACATATGAAAATTTTAATCAACTTGAGCAGTCTCAACTTGTTGTTCCGGTTGTTAAGGTAGTATATAGTTGCCCATGTTTTTATAATAACATATGTTCCAACCGTCCAGATTTGATCAGAAGTCTGCTGAATTAACATGCAATCTTCTCCTGGCTTCCCAAATTTTGTCAAATTTTCAGAAAAAACCCCAAAATATATTAAATAGCTAATTTAGTGGCTTTTTGCTACCAGTAATGGAGTATTTCTGTGTAAATTTTTTCTTTGTGAGCCGAATATAAACAATGTTGGCATACAAAGACTTTCTGAGTTTGTCCAATACCTCAAAAGATCAGAATGCATGTATGAAAAACAACATTTCAACATTTCGAGGGTGGTGGCACACTTCACCAGGGCACATCCAGACTCCTGAATTTTGAGTTCCAGACAGGGGTAGGAATATGTAATAATTTTTATTATTATTAAATAGTGGTAGATACAATTTCATTCAAAAGTTGAAATAAAGTGAAGCTGAGTGTAATCAGAAGAATTTATCAATTATAGCAAAACAATTAAAAAAATTATTTCTGGATTTACAGTTGAAATTGGATTTTTAAAATACATCATTCTGATGGTCATACATTGTGTCTACTTGTATTTTACAGACAAGAGAAGAAGATAGCAATAGAGATGGAAAACCAGACCAATTGGATTATAGCATCCAGGTTCCATTACTAGACACACAAGAGGTTTATTCAGTCAAGCTTCTTCTTATATTTGATTACCGATTGTATGTAAGTATACTGTATATCTTTAATAATGTAATCAACTGTGGTTTAACAAAAATAGCTCCTCCCTCCACAGCCCCCCCCCCCACCCCACTCTTCCGCTGCCCTACCAACTGGAAATGTT